CCCCCCAGAGCCATGAGGAGGGGGCTGGCAGGGCCACGGGGACGTCCCCAGGGGGGTTTTGGGGTCCCCCCCTGCCCGCTGTGCCCCGCCTGAGCGGAGCTGCCGGATACGGATCCTTTCCAGCTCATCTGCGCCACGTCCAGCCCTTCCCTCCCTGCCTGGGAAGTGCAGCATCCCAGGGCTGGGGGACACAAGCCTCTGTCCCCCCGTCTGTCCCTGCTTTCGGGAGCCAGTTCATGGACTGGGATGGTGAACACAGAAGCCACCTCCGGGCTCCTCACCGAGCAGCTGGGGGACACCAGGATCCACGACAAGAGGATGAATGGACAGACAGAGGAGCTGGATGCTGCATCCATCTTCATCTCCCCCCACTTAAGCAAAGGGGTCCAGGGGGCTCCTCACCTCCCGGTGGTGGCCACACAGCCCCCCCTGTCCCCACAGGGACAATGCTGTGGCCACAGCAAGCCCAGCCCTGTGGAAAGGAGGTCAGCACCGGGTGCTGTTAAGTAACACAGCAGGGATGGTTGGGACCAGAGGGAATGGCTGAGACCAGACCGGCCTCCACGGCAACAGGGAGGGGGCAGAGGGGGCCAACGGGGTCAGCATTGTGTCCCCTGGGCAGGCACATCCCATTGGGATGGGGTTTGCATCCTTCCCAGCCCCCTCACACCCACTGATCCCTTGCAGAGCTGCAGCTGGAGCTGCCAACAACTAGATTTAGTCACCCTGATCTCCCCAGAGCTGGGGGGGGAACAAATCCAGGCAGGCTGCCCCAGGGCTGGGGGACACAAGCCTCTGTCCCCCCGTCTGTCCCTGCTTTCGGGAGCCAGTTCATGGACTGGGATGGTGAACACAGAAGCCACCTCCGGGCTCCTCACCGAGCAGCTGGGGGACACCAGGATCCACGACAAGAGGATGAATGGACAGACAGAGGAGCTGGATGCTGCATCCATCTTCATCTCCCCCCACTTAAGCAAAGGGGTCCAGGGGGCTCCTCACCTCCCGGTGGTGGCCACACAGCCCCCCCTGTCCCCACAGGGACAATGCTGTGGCCACAGCAAGCCCAGCCCTGTGGAAAGGAGGTCAGCACCGGGTGCTGTTAAGTAACACAGCAGGGATGGTTGGGACCAGAGGGAATGGCTGAGACCAGACCGGCCTCCACGGCAACAGGGAGGGGGCAGAGGGGGCCAACGGGGTCAGCATTGTGTCCCCTGGGCAGGCACATCCCATTGGGATGGGGTTTGCATCCTTCCCAGCCCCCTCACACCCACTGATCCCTTGCAGAGCTGCAGCTGGAGCTGCCAACAACTAGATTTAGTCACCCTGATCTCCCCAGAGCTGGGGGGGGAACAAATCCAGGCAGGCTGCATGGAAATAAAGCCTTTCCTGCAAGCACAGCTCTGCTGTCACGCTGCCTTTCTGCTCCAGCCCAGCCCCCTGTCCCCACCTCAACAGAACATCCAGCCTGAGGGTTTTGCTGCATCCACAAGACCCCCTCTGCAGGAACTCATTGTGGCATTGTCACATGAAGTCCTCCAAGAGCAGAGCAGGCAGAGGCAGTGCCACCAGGAGGATCACAGCAGCATCAGGCTGGTGGACACGAGGTGGGGAGGAGGCTGCTCATACCACACACACACAACCTCAGCCTGCCAAGAAGACAAAAATCACTTCCAGGTATTGTGTTTTAGGAGACAGGAGCCCAAAAGTGTCCCTGCTGGGGGGACACCAGCCCCTCTCAAGGCCCACAGTGAGCTGCTCACTACAGCCCCAGGTGCTTCACTCAAAATCTCCCCCAAAAAGCAGCCTCATATCTGCTACCAGCAGGCTGGGAACCCCCTGCCAGCCTCAGCACCCTGCCCAGGCAGCAGCAGGATGAGACCATCCCTTCAGGCTGGCACAAACCCTGGCAAGATTTCCCTCTGCATGATCAGAAAGACCACAACACCCAGAGATGACCCCAAGGGCGACCACCACCCTCCAGCCAGGACCTGGGTCACACTCAGGGAGCTCCCAACACTGCTGGCCTGTTGGTTGACATATTTTAATGGGTGACTCACTGAGCTCAACCTCTGAGAGAGGCCTAAAACTGTTCTAAAAAGCAAAGATATGAGCACACAGCGACATCAGCGCTCGGGGAAGAAGCTCCTTTCCCTGAAAAGGAGGACACACAGGGAGGGCAGCCAGGGTCCCTCTGGCTCCTGCTCCTCATTAGTGCTCCGGGCTGCCAGGGGGAGCGGGGCCCCTGCTGCCAGGCTGTGCTGGGGCGTGTTTTTCCTCACAAAACCGAGGACAAAGATGCCCTTGTGGAGCTGCCCGGCCCCCTCAGTCCACGCTCAGCTGGATGCCTCCATCTCAACAACCTCCTCCAGGGGCTGGGTCTGCACCTCCACTTTCTTCGGGGGGACGTAGGAGCCCATCCCGGCGGCGCGCTCGGCCTCCTCCTGCGTGTACGGAGCCTCCCGCAGCTGCTTCAGCCTGCGGGGAAGGCAGGGAGGGGGGGGTTGAAGCCTCCCACCTTCCACCCTGGCTCCCCAAAACCAGCCCAGCCCTGGCACTCCCACCCTCCTCCCCCCCAGCGATGTGGGGCAGGGGGCTGTGCCCTGCTCCGGGGATGGATGCAGGTGCACAGGGCGGCTCAGGAACCTGCTCAGACCCCCCCTCACCTTTTCTTGTGCACCTTGGACCTGAAGTGTTCCTTCATGCTGGTCAGGTCTATGAAGTAGCGCCTGTGGGGGATAAGAGGTCAGGGTCAGGGGGCCCTGAGATGGGAACTGGACTGGGAGAGCCCTACTGAGGGGCCAAGGTCCTCCCACACCCTTGGGACCAGCCCCCCCGGGGCCAGAGTCCCTCCCGAGACCAGAACAAGCTCCCCCCAGAATTCAGAGCTCCCCTCAGGACGGTGAGCCCCCCTCCAGGAGCCAGGGACTCCCGCTGGGACCAGTACAAGATCCTCCCAGGGGACAGGGTCCCTCCCAACACCCGGACAAGTTTCCCGCAGGGAGTTAGAGCCCTCCAGGAGGAAGGGACCTCTCCCTGGGACCAGAACCCTCTCTCATGGACCCCCCAGCACCAGGACAACCCCCTCCCAGGAGACCGGGACACCCCCTTCCCCGCCGGGCCCAGGCAACCCCGAGAACATGGGCAAGCCCCCCCAAGGGTCAGAGCTCCCCTCAGCCAGCCCCCCCCCCACCAGAGCTCCCC